GCCTGAACCCAGGAGGCGGAGGTTGCGGTGAGCCGAGATTGCACCAGTGCACTCCAGCCTGGGTAACAAGAGTGAAACTCCGTCTTAAAAAAAAAAAAAAGAGTGAAAACTCTCACATAGAAAATACAAGAACATTTCCCAAAACTAAGGAACAAGTTTTCTGAGCACCTATTAGAATACATTTTATTTTATTTGTATTTCTTTTTTTCGATGGAGTCTTGCTCTGTTGCTCAGGCTGGAGTGCAGTGGCACAATCTTGGCTCACCGCAATCTCTACCTCCTGGGTTCAAGCGATTCTCCTGCCTCAGACTCCTGAGTATCTGGGACTAAAGGCGCATGCCACCATGCCCAGCTAATTTTTTTGTATTTTTAGTAGAGACAGGGTTTTACCATGCTGGCCAGGATGGTCTCAAACTCCTGACCTCAGGTGATCCACCCAGCTCGGCCTCCCAAAGTGCTGGGATTACAGGCGTGAGCCACTGTGCCCAGCCCGAATACATTTTAAGAAGACCTATACCTCAGAAAAGGAACCTAAAAGCTTCTAGAGAGAAACAAAACAAAACAAAACAAAACAAAAGTAGACTGTTTATAAAGAGGCCTCGAAAGGGCATCAGCCCCCTGGACACCAATATCAGAAACTTGAAGACAATTGAACAATGCCTTCCAAATTCTAAGTACAAAAAGTAATTTTAAACCTACAATCCTATATTTAATTAATTATGAATGAAGAATATGCTAGTTTAGAATGTACAGTATCAAATTTTCCATTTACTCACCCTTTCTCAAAAAGCTACAGCAGAATATGTTCAAGCAAAATGAAAGCAAATCAAGAAAGAGGAAGACAATAAATCTTAACCAAGTCAGAAGCAACTGTGCAGAAGGCCAACAGAACAGCAAGTACAGGGCCGGGCGCAGTGGCTCATGCCTGTAATCCCAGCACTTTGGGAGGCCAAGATTGGTGGATCACCTGAGGTCAGGAGTTCGAGACCCAGCCTGGCCAACATGGTGACACCCCATCTTTAAAAAAAAAAGAATAGCAAGTACAGAATGGAGTGGGAGCATGGAGGGATCCAGAGAGATGATTAAGAAATTGATACAATGGCTGGGCGTGGTGGCTCACATCTGTAATCCAAGCACTTTGGAGGCCAAGGCGGTCAGATCATCTGAGGTCGGGAGTTCAAGACCAGCCTGACCAACATGGTGAAACCCCATCTTTAAAAAAATAATAAAAAATAGAAAAATTAAAAAAAAGAAATTGATATATTTTACATGTGTTACCAAGTAGAAAGAGGTGTTTTTACAGAGCTGTTGGAGGGGAGAGAAGGCAAGCCAGAGATTTAAAGAGAATGCTAATTTGAAAATGTTAATTCCAAGAAAATAAGCTTTAAAAAACAAAGGAGAAATAATCATAGTATGTTAGTTGACTTAAGAGAGAACAATTCTCATATCCGTTTGGAATCCAAGTCATAGCATAAAAATTTATATCTGTAAGCCACCTTATACTTATTCCATTTCAACCTGCTGATTTCACATAGATAAAAAAAGAATTTTGGGCCGGGCGCGGTGGCTCACGCCTATAATCCCAGCACTTTGGGAGGCCGAGGCGGGTGGATCACGAGGTCAAGAGATCGAGACCATCCTGGTCAACATGGTGAAACCGCGTCTCTACTAAAAATTCCAAAAATTAGCTGGGCATGGTGGTGCGTGCCTGTAGTCCCAGCTACTCGGGAGGCTGAGGCAGGAGAATTGCTTGAACCCAGGAGGCAGAGGCTGCGGTGAGCCGAGATGGTGCCATTGCATTCCAGCCTGGGTAACAAGAGCGAAACTCCTTCTCAAAAAAAAAAAAAAAAAAAAAAAAAAAAGAATTTTAGGAGTGTTAAATGACATACATTAGTTAGTGCCATCACTCAAAGAACTATCAGTTGTCACAAGTCTCACCCATCTACTACTGTGGTCAGACTGGTTTCAGTAATCAGAATATACCAGTAATGCTGTCATTCTGAGTTTTGGTTCTACCTATAAGTATGTGAAATTTGGGAAGTAACAACTAGATGTACCGTTTTCTATAAAGCTAAAAGAATGGTACCTTTCGAAACTCCTTCAGAGTTAACACAAGGGTCCTATTAGAAACTGGATTTTTAAAATGCTAAAAATAATTTTTAAAGTTTATATTTGTAATAATTACTAATATTAATGTAAACATTATGATGTCATGAGAGGCGTAATATTTGGTTGGTGGATAAGGCAAAGCAGATACCAGGGCAACTTGCCTCATTCCATGCAGAGCAGATGCTCATGGCTCTTTCATTTGTTTTATATTTGGCTATTCTAAATTCATATTTGAAAGTTTTATATTTAATTAAAAACTATAACCATACTTGGTTGAATTCTATTTCATAATGCCCTTTTGTTTTGAGGTGGGGTCTCGCTCTGTTATCTAGGGTAGAATGCAGTAGTGCAAATACAGCTCACTGCAGCCTCGACCTTCTGGGCTCAAGCAATGCTCCTGTGTTAAACTCCCAAGTAGCAGAGACTATAGAAATGCACCACCCAATGCAGCTAATTTTTTGTTTTTTGTAGAGGCGAGATCTTGCCATGTCACCCAGGATGTTCTTGAATTTCTGGCCTCAAGCAATCCTCCTGCCTCAGCCTCCCAAATTCTGGGTAATAATGCATTTTTTTAAAAGCCTATCTGACTTGAAGATGGAGACTTAATCTTTAACAACGTTCTTAGGAATTTTCCTGAGAACAAAACACTCTGTAGAGATAACTGAGATAGAGGCTGATATACAGATTGTGATTAGGTTAAAAAAAAAAAAAAGTCTCAGCCAATTATGTTATCACTTGCCTAGGCCTAGCATTTAGTATTTTTCTTTCCTGAAAGTTTAACTTGCCCATCTTGAGATTAACTTGCCCACTGTCTAGAATACTCCAGAGTAAAAAGTCACCAATCTGACTGAGGCCAAGTCTGAACAGCTGAACAGTTTGAATTGTTAAATATTATTCAAAAAGAAAGTTTAGGCTAGTTGTGGTGGCTCACTCCTGTAATCCCAGCACTTTGGGAGGCCAAAGTGGGAGCACTGCTTGAGCCCAGGAGTCTGAGGCCAGCCTGGGCAACATAGCAAGACGCTGTTGCTACAAAAAATAAAAATTTGCTGACCTTAGTGGTACATACCTGTAGTCTGAGCTACTTGAGAGGTTGAGGCTGGAGGATAAAAACCTTTTTTTTTTTTTTTTTTTTTAGAGGGAGTTTTGCTCTTGTTGCCCAGGCTGGAGTGCAATGGCTGGCATAATCTCGGCTCACTGCAACATCTGCCTACTGGGTTCAAGTAATTCTCCTGTCTCAGCCTCCGGAGTGGCTGGGATTACAGGCATGCGCCACTACACCTGGCTAATTTTTGTCTTTTTAGTAGTGACCGGGTTTCACCACGTTGGTCAGGCTGGTCTCAAACTCCTCACCTTAGATGATCTGCCTACCTCAGCATTCCTAAGTGCTGGGATTACAGGCATTAGCCACTGCACCTGGCCAACTTTTTGTGTTTTGAGATAGTCCCATTCTGCTGGAGTGTAGTCGCATGATTATGTCTCACTGCAGTCTTTGCCTCCCAGGCTCAAGTGATCCTCCCACCTCAGCCTCTCTCCCAAGTAGCTGGGACTACAAGCATGTGCCACTGGGCCCAGCCAAGCTTTTAAAAATTTTTTTGTAGAGACAAGGTCTCACTATTGCCCAGGCTGATCTCAAACTCCTGGGCTCAAGTGATCTGCCCACCTCAGGCTCTCAAAGGGCTGGGATTACAGGCATGAGCTATCACGCCCGGCTGGAGCCTAAGAATTTGAGGCTGAAGTAAGCTAAGATTGTATCACTGCACTCCAGGTTGGATGACAGAGTGAGACCCTGAATCAAAACGACAACAACAACAACAAAAAAGGAAGAAACAAGCAAAGAAAGAAAGAAAAGGCTCTACTATTACTATTGTCAAATATACCACTACATATTGCTTACCAAAGTTTTAGTAACTACTTAAGAATTTGATGTAATTCATGTATTCCCCTAGCAAACATTTCAGCAGCTCTGTACACTATGTGGAGTACAGAATGAAGTTGCTTTCAAGGGAGGAAAGGGCCACTATAGAAATAGACATATAATGTCTTTTTTTTTTTTTTTTTAAGAGACAGGGCATGTTGCTTAGGCCAGAGTACAGTGGCATGATCACAGCTCACTTGCAGCCTCAAACTCCTGGACTTATGCAATCTTCCTGTCTTGGGTTCTTAAACAATTCAGAAGTTCTATTATTATGGACTCAGGACCTGGTCCATCTATTTGTCTCCCTTACTTATTCAGCAGTCAGCTTAATAATACCTCCAAGCAAATAATGGAAAAAGTAAGGTTCAGCTCCTTAACATCATTGGCAACAGTAATTTACCCTGGTTTCTGACAAGGTGTTTTAGTGTAGTAAGAGTTGTCTTATTGCATTTTTCAGTAATTTTCTATTTTAAATCAAGATTATATTTTATATTTTGACCTTTCTAAATATTCTATCTCAAGTCATATTTCTTTTTTTTTTTTTAGCTTTAGTAATTTTCTTCTTCAGAGTAACTATTAACAATTTTACCTTAATAGCCTCTTTAGGAATAAGTAAAGTGTTCTATTTTCTACCCCCATTGTTCTTACTTGTGCAGACTCTGCATGTTCCAGCATCTCTTCAAATTCCTGATACTCTTCATCATCTGGCTCAGCACCTGAGAGGCGAGCTGCTCTGGCCATGAAATATGGAGGCAACTCTCCAATTGCTGTACCGATACCCTAGGTGAAAAACCAAAATACTTACAATGAGGTTCTGTTTTCAACACAATGACACTTAATGGATCAAACCTACACTCTTCTGTAACACCAGAAGCATTTTGAGATGCAACATATTGAGGGAAAGCATATGCGACACAATCAAAATAATAAGAGTTTGAATCCTGGCTCTAATTCTGACCTATCTGATGCTTGGCAAGATAATACACATAAAACCCTTAAGACAAGTCAGGCACAGTGGCACGTACCCGTAGTCATAGATACTCAGGATTCGGAGACAGGAAGATCACCTAAGCCTGGGAGTTTGAGGCTAGCCTGGGCAACATTGTGAGATTCCTGTCTATTAAAAAAAAAAATCTTGAGACAACACCTGGCGCATTGTAGACATTAATTTTAGTTCTCTAGAATCACTACTTAGAGTCTGTTAATTTTATTACTTGCCCCCACCTTTTTGAGATTCAAATTATCTGGTAATAAGAATTCACCAGTGGCCGGGTATGGTGGCTCATGCCTGCAATCCCAGCACTTTGGGAGGCCAAGGTGGGTGGAACATAAGGTCAAGAGATTGAGATCATCCTGGCCAACATGGCGAAACCCCGTCTCTACTAAAAGTACAAATATTAGCTGGGCATGGTGGTGTGCACCTGTAGGCACCTTTAGTCCCAAATACTCAGGAGGCTGAAGCAGGAGAATCGTTTGAACTCAGGAGGCAGAGGTTGCAGCGAGCCGAGACCATGCCACTGTACTCCTGCCTGGTGACAGAGTGAGACTCCATCTCCGGAAAAAAAAAATTCACCAGTATAAATGTTAGATAAAAATTCTCTAGGAAATCTTCTGGAATTTCGGTAGTTGCTTTAATTTAAATACAACTTTTCTTCTGTTAAAACTTTTAACCGATTGTGGCCAGGAAGCCCTTTGAAAACTAAACATTAGGATGAATAAGTTTTTTTGTTTTTTTCTTTTTTTGAGCTGTAGTCTCGCTCTGTCACCCAGGCTGGAGTGCAGTGGCGTGATCTCAGCTCACTGCAACCTCCATTTCCCCGGTTCAATCTCCTGCCTCAGCATCCCGAGTAGCTGGGACTACAGGTGCCNCGGGTTTCACCATCTTGGTCAGGATGGTCTCGATCTCTTGACCTCGTGATCCACCCGCCTCGGCCTCCCAAAGTGCTGGGATTACAGGCTTGAGCCACCACGCCCGGTCCATTTTTTTTTCTTTGAGACAGTCTTGCTTTGTTACCCAGGCTGGAGTGCAATGACGTAATCTCAGCTCACTGCAACCTCCAATTCCTGGGTTCAAGCCATTCTCCTGCCTCAGCATCCCAAGTAGCTGCAATTACAGGTGCCCACCACCATGCCCAGCTAATTTTTGTATTTTTAGTAGAGAAAGGGTTTCATCATGTTGGCCAGGCTGGTCTCGAACTCCTGACCTCAGGTGATCCACCTGCCTCGGCCTCACAAAGTGCTGGGAATACAGGCATGAGCCTGTATACCCAGCCCCCAGCACCATTTATTGAAGACTGTGCTTGTAAATGTTGAGGACAATATTAACAAATCTAAACATAACTTGGTGTGTGCTATATTTTTGATATGACAAGACAATTACAAAGAAGTAAAGAAGAGCACACATTTGACCTATTAATTAGTACATTCCTATAGTACGTCTGAAACTTTTTAAAAAATTAATTAATTTATTTCTTTGAGATGGAGTCTTGGTCTGTTATACAGGCTGAAGTGCAGAGGTGCAATCTTGGCTCACTGCAACCCATGCCTCCCAGGTTCAAGTGATTCTCCTGCCTCAGCCTCCCAAGTCGTTGAGAATACAGGTGTGAGCCACCATGCCCAGCTAATTTTTTATATTTTTAGTAGAGATGGTATTTCACCATGTTGGCCATGCTGGTCTCAAACCCCTGACCTCAAGTGAGCCACCCACCTTGGTCTCCCAAAGTGCTGGGATTACAGGAGCTAGTAGCCACAATGCCCAACCCTATGTGCAAAACTTAATGTTGATTACTGTGATGCTAATACATTTAAGGTATATTTTATCTTTTTAGGATCCTAAATATTATTTGGGGAAGAAAGCCACCATACCAGCCAAGTTAACTAATTTAAAACATGTATGAAGCCAGACCTAATAAGCCACTTAGACAATATACACTATGGAAATTTGTAAGAGGCAGTTATCATGGCCAGCTGAGACAGCAGTTTTCATTTGTTGGCCTTAACGTTAATCCAGCAATGTAAATAATTTTTGAAAGAACAAAAGTATAATATTAAGAAAAAAAGGACCAATTGATATACAAAGTCCCTCTTCTAGAATGTTCCAAGTATCTTCTGTTATTCTAACATTTTTTTCATCAAAAGACTAATGTCAAATTTATAAAGCATATGCAACTAGTATAATAAATTTGTTTCCACAGTTTATAAAAGAGCAACAGGAAACAAGACAATTTTTCCTGTCTTTCATATTCAACAAATTCAACGCTATGGTATTTCCTTTATAATTCTTTTAAAGCAAAACATAATTGCTAACACTTACTGTGTTTCAAAACTCTGCTGCTTCTGAGGGTATGGTATTCACGCTAATTTTAGTGAGTTAAGATTTGTAAATGATATGTTCGATAAGCTTTGATTTCCTAAGAAATTGCTAGTGGGAAAAAAAATTACAGGAACATAACAAATCCAAATAAGTTAAAAAATAACTCAAATGGCAACAGAAGTCTTTAACCTCAATAATGGATTATTCCTCAATAATGGATACCTGAATAAATTTGGGCATACAGCAAAAAAGAAAAAAAATTGTGTGGATTAGAATCCATCCACCACTGAATACGCTGTCTAAAAAATTCTGTAAAATGAACTTAAGAAAACCACAAAAAGAGTAACTGGAACAACTGAAAGTAAAATTGCCATATACAATCATACAGCCTGATACTTTAACTATAATAAGGTTTGGTTTATATTAAGAAATATCCGACCTTACTTTAGTTAGCATATAATAACTCAGAAATGAAATGAGTCCTCTAAGAACACAGTATTTTGTTGTTGTTGAGATGGAGTCTCGCTCTGTTGCCCAGGCTGGAGGGCAGTGGTGGGTCTCGGCTCACTACAACCCCTACCTCCTGGGTTCAAGTGATTATAAGTCCACGCCACCATGGCTGGCTAATTTGTGTATTTTTAGTAGAGGTGGGGTTTCACCATGTTGACCAGGCTGGTCTCAAACTCCTGGCCTCCAGTGATCTACCTGCCTTGGCCACTCAAAGTGCTGAGATTACAGGGATAAGCCACCATACCTGGCCAGAACACAGAATTTTAATCTAAAAGTAGACATGTGCTCCCTTCAGCAGCACAGATAATGAAAAATTGGAACGATACAGAGAACATTAGTATGGCCCCTGCTCAAGGATGATACGCAAACTCATGAAGCGTACGATAAAGAAAAAAAAAAGTAAGACATATGACATTTACCAATCTAATATTTATATATATTTTATATAACTCTCAGATAAGTTCTAAGAGTTTATCGGGTATAGATATACTGGAAGAAGGTCAGGCGTGATGGCTCATGTCTATAATCTCAGCACTTTGGGAGGCTGAGGGGGATGGATCACTTGAGGTCAGGAGTTCAAGACCAGCCTGATCAACATAAAGAAACCCTGTCTCTACTAACAATACAAAATTAGCCAGGCATAGTGGTGCATGCCAGTAGTCCCAGCTATTCGGGAGGCTGAGGCTGAAGAATTTCTTGAACCCGGAAGGCAGAGGTTGCAGTAAGCCAAGATAGCACTATTGCATTCCAGCCTCGGCGACAGAGCAAGACTCTGTCAAAAAAAAAAATTGGTATAATAAAGATCAACTATCTATCCTTTTCTGATATAAACTATATCTCAGGGTAACTAAATTACTGAAAAGGAAAAGTTTTCCTTGCGGTGGCTCACTCCTGTAATCACAGCATTTTGGGAGGCCAAGACAGGTAGATCACAAGGTCAGGAGTTCAAGACCAGCCTGGCCAACATGGTGAAAGCCCATCTTTACTAAAAATACAAAAATTAGCCGGGCCTGGTGGCATGTGCCTGTAATCCCAGCTACTCAGGAGGCTTAGGCAGGAGAATCAATTGAACCCAGGAAGGTGGAGGTTGCAGTGAGCCAAGATCACCGCACTGCACTCCAGCCTGGGCAACAGAGCGAGACTCCATCTCAACAACAACAACAAAAAGTATTATTTCGGGCCTGGTACAGTGGCTCATGCCTATAATACCAAGGGTTCAAGACCGGCTTGGACAACACAGCAAAACCCTCCATCTACAAAAAATTAGCTTGGCATGGTAGCTTGTGCCTTTAGTCCCAGCTATTCATGAGGCTGAGGTGGGAGGATTGCTTGAGCCTGGGAGGTCAAGGCTGCAGTGAACTGTGACTGTGCCACTGCACTCCAGCCTGGTGACAGAGCGAGACTCTGTCTCCTGTTAATAAGTAAAAAAATAAAAGTGTAACTGGGATACTAATATTTTATAACCTCTAATAAAATAATGGCCTTATGTAATAAAAAAATCATCCATGGTGCTAATATCACAAAAAGGAAGGACAAACAAACATTCTATCTCATGACAGAAATACACAAGGCTATGAAGTATACTCCTATTTACAAAAAAACACAATTTATCAACTCAAAGGAAATTTATCAACTCAAAGGAAACAGAAGGAACAGAGCAACATGTTTGAATTATACTAATTAGAATTTAATCAGTAAAATTCAGACCGTTGGAAACTATTTGACAATTTCTTTAGCTTAAATTTGAGAAGAAATAAATATAATCAGAAAATTTAAGAGACTAATATAGTTTCTTTTAGGTGTGATAATGGTTTTTAGGCCCCAAGGCTGATATATTTACAGATGATGTGTGACATGCTATCTGGGATCTTCTTTAAGATAATTGAGAAGACAATGAGAAAGGGTATAGATACAACAATATTAACTATTAGTTAATGTTAGCTGAAGTTGAGTGAAAGTATATTAAATTCATTTTATAATTCTCTGCACTTTTGAAAAATTTTCCACAGAAAAAAGTAGGACAGAAGTGTAACATTTTACTCAAAACATGAACATGAACTTCTACTAAGTTCAAATGCAAAGTTCCAATGAAATCACTTGAACACGGGAGGTGGAGGTTGCAGCGAGCCAAGATCATGCCACTGCACTCCAGCTTGGGCGCCAGAGTGAGACT